AGTTATGCGATCATATGGCTATAGTCTATGCGGTCGCATAGTGTTAAAATCAAGTGTTGGTTGGATTTTTTTTTTCGAAATTTCCGGTGATTTTTTGGTGAATCATTGAATCTCTTCTTATTGAATTGGAATCACTTTGTGTAGAGATGATTAAAAACTATAAATACATTATAGTATTTATTCCTAAATATATGACAAATCATTCTATTATTCATCCAATAATTGAAGAAATTTAGCCCTCGTTTGGCTCCCATTCTCTTTCATTTTTTTTTTGTTTTCTCTTATTTTCAATCACACAATATTTCATAAAATAATATTACATATAAATTGAACATTTTTCATTTTTTTCAATCACACATTCGTAAAAAGAAATACTATTCCAAACATTAAAATTTGGGGGAAAAAAAGGGAGCCAAACGGAGGCTTAGTTTCTTTATATAATCATTTTTTTTTTGACTTGTTCACTTTGAAGAATTACTTTACTTTCGGTCAAGGATGAACCCAAAATTATGGTTCAGTAAGGGCGAGATAGAAAATTGACTAAAATAAATTATGAAAGAAACCAAAAATAAATAAATAAATAAATTCTGAAAATTTAAATTAAAAAAGCCTTAACGAAGGTTTTTGAAAATTTAGTGGGGGCAATCGACCCCACTCGACCCTTAATAGGCCTGCCACTGCTTTTAATGTTTTTCATTAAAGTTTGATAAATCCTACAAATTATTTATTATTGCAATCCTTAAAAGTATTTGAGAGAAGGTAAATATCGTTTCAGGACAACGTTTTTCTTTCCTGTTAAAATCTTCTTTGTATATACATGCTGTTAATCTTGGAGTACAAGTTTCCCTTTCAAACAATCCGAAAGAATTATCTTAATAGTATTTTAAATTCGAGCCCATCGATTTCACGATATTTCCTTAAAACGAATTTGTTGCCTTCAATGGTATTAAAAATGTCCAGCAATTGTTTTCCAGGATGAAACGAATTTCGCCTCCTACGAAAACAGCACAGCAATCTGCAGGAGTTCCACCGAAAGCAATGAAGTGTTTTTACTTCGAAAATAGTATCAGAACGAGAGGGATAATGAAATTCAAAGCAAAAAAAATTTGCAATGAAAATGGGGGCAGGCTATTTATAGATTCGTTCGTGGCCACTGGAACACCCTTCAGAACAGTGGTCATTGATCAGACAACCTCCAAAACTCCAACAGACATGTCAATATTGCGTCTGTTAAGTCGACGGTTAATAGTCATCCCAAAAAATTAATATAGTGTAAGGACGCACTCGCACCGAACTCGGACACATGCTCGGCCCGTGCCAACGGGATGACAGGGCGCGCGTGTAGGTTTATGATCGAACCCGATAGAATATAGGTCTCCGTAAACCCTTCCAAGAACTATTGGTATCCTTTGGGGCCCAAACTCAATTTCCAAACTTGCACCATATAAATCACACCAAAATTTCGTAATTTTCTTATGTTGAATAAGTGTTTGGGCATATCAAATTCTTCACTAATTCATAGTTTTAAGTGAGTTACTTTGACATTAAAGATTTCATTCAATTTTAAATGATTTTCGATAAATAAATATACCACGTTCATCACCTTGTGAAGTAGAGCGTGAATATGCTAGGTCCTTTATTAATTAAGATGTAAGTCTCACTGAAATTTAGGTCCAAAATTGATCCATTTCATACTATTTTCTAACACATGCATCTTCCTCTTCTTTGTTTTCTCCACTGCTGTATTATTTTCCAACACAGGTACCATGCTGATGCCATGCTTCTACACAATCCTTTCCCGTTATAAATGTTACCTCTTATAGCACAGACAAAACCGTCGAAAATGAAATTTAAAATTTGACGTTGAAGACGAAAATGGAAAATCGTGTTAAAATGAGTCAGACGCCATTGCTGAGAACTGTACCAGTAGCATTATTCATAAATTTATTCAAAATGCTGTACTTGTGTTCACATTATTATGTGGGGTATGCCGTGTTTCGTGCGGGGCTTTGACACGACGTGACTGCCCCATTTTGTCATTCTTCCCTCACTCGAATCACTTTGATTCACACTAAACTCGCATGCAGGTGAGTGGGACCCAACTCCCCCCTATGGCCCCACATTTTTGCATCATTATCCCTGCAATTTTCTTCCTTGTTAAGCCAAGACAAAAAAACAATTTATGTAACAGTTCAAGTACATCATACTTACGACATTCATGATTCAACTCTAACTAGATATTTATTTATTTTTTATTTTCACTTTTAACTGAAATTTTAAGCTTGGCCAAACATTTGCACTTTCTTAGTTCCCATCGTTTTTCTTTTTCTGATGATGAAGTAAAACTAAATTTACGACTAAAATGAGTAAAATCATGCTACCATTCGACCACCAAGATATCTTGAAAGTGAATCATATTTCGTGAATATGATATCTATCTCAATAAAATCCTAGCATGATTTATGATTCAATTGGGCATTAATTACTCCACAATTATTATTTAGTTGCTCAACATAGAGACCAACTATCCTTGTTGACAATATCCAATTAAGATTGGATCAATAAGATATTCGATATGTATAACTTGAGTAAGACTGTAAATAGACTCTTCGTCCTTCACTTTAAGGTGTGTTCTACCTACTTTCAATTATTTGAATAGTTGACAGTTACTTTTGAGACTAAAAGAATGTCTTTGAACGTGTTGAATAATTTTTTGAAAGTATTTGATCTAACTATAAGAGCTTTCTAATGAAATTAGAATCTAGTAATTTTCTTAGAGAATTCTTATATAAAAAAGCAAAAATCTTATTAAACGAGCTTTTCTACTATTCTACGTTCCTTCTTCCATTTTTTTTTTTTTTGGGTGTTGTATTTATAGCAACATTTCATGTGCGAAATTTTGAGTTGCTAGTTTGGTTAAGGCTGCGTTGGTTGATTTGAGCCTGTTTGGGAGGAAATTTTTACCTCAAAAAATTAATTTTTTGACTGTTATTTCACTATTTTAATCGTAATTTTTAACTTCTTCTCTCACATGTGAACCCCACTTTTCTTCTTACGATCAAAAAATCAATTTTCAAAATCCCTCCCAAACGGGGTCAATAGTAGCTGGTCACAACTCAAGCAATTTGGGATGGTGGGGGTGGTACCATGTGTTGCTAATTATACTTGACGGCCTTTAAAATCAACCCTATGTTACGACACCCTCGTCGGTGATACACAGGTACGTTGACGGTTGTCGTAAGCTAATACACACATGGACGGCGGAAATTGCGCTTGCAGAATCTCAATGATGCTGCTCACTAATACACTGCTTCGTTACAAAGTAAGCTTAGTTAAGAGCTTGGCTCCTCATCATTTTATTTGGCGGCTTGAGCCGTTTTTTACTGCTGATTTTCGGTGATTTGGCCCTCACCCACGGGGCTTGGCTGGCTTGACTTGAAGTATTCAAGCCAAGCTATAATGCTGTTAAGACCTGTTTGAAAAATGGATTTTCATTTTTTCCCCTTTTTTTTTTAAAGTTGGTAAAATTTTATTTTAATCTTATATATTATTAGACTCACAATTTTTATTCACTTTAAAATCAAACATTTCACGAGACGACTTAACTTATAATCTTCAAATACATTGTCAAAGGAGGTGTTTGTTTGAATTTTATTATAAGTTACTGAAATTAAAATGTAATAAAATAAGTCGTGAATAAGTGAATCTTACGGAATATGATTAAAAATTAAAATTTGACTTTAATCTTTAAAATATAAGGATATTATAATAAGGGCAAACAAATTGGCTAAACTTTAAACGTTTACTTCATCAGTAAATTTTAAGTAGATAATTTTTTAAAGAAAAGCAGTTGATATATTATTGTATAGTAACATACAGTTTTTAATGGATAAAATAAATTAATTAATTATTCACATGTAACTTTACCATACACTTGACTTTTACTTCTATTGCATGTAATTTTTATTTTATTATCACTATGAAGGAAAATAATCATATTTTTAAATGGTGAGCTTAAAAAACCTTTTATATAGCATTAATGTCGTAAATATTTTTATTATATTGAATTGGTTAACAAATTGATTTCGATAATCAAAGTCAAAAATTCTTGTCTACATTGACATGCATCAAATCAAAATTAATTACAACCTAGTTCAAAATCAAATTAAGGTTAAGTTAAATCACCTGTAGAGCTCATTTGGTTGGATTTTTGTAAAGTTGAAAGTTACTTTCGAGATAAAGAAACTGCTTTTCAACATATTTGAATAGTTTTTGGAAGCACTTTGTCTCATTTGAAGTCACTTTAAATGAAGTTGACCTAATATAGCTTTCGCAAAAACTCCTCCACAAGAAATATAAGTAAAAATAGAAATTCAGTCAAATATGCTTTAATTCAGTTCAAACGTAATTTCAATTTAACAGCTTAAAAAAAAAAAAAAAATATATATATATATATATATTATACATTTTTTTTTTTTTATAGATTAATTTTGAGTACTAGTCATTGCGTGTTTAAGGCCAAAGAAACAATTTGACGTCTGGTCTCTTTATTGTCAAAACCTTATTTTTTCTAACAAATTATTCTGTAGGCCCATAACTTCGATTTAATTTGTCTTTAATATGGAACAATGGAACACATGTCAATGATCATAAAGTAAAAGAAAAATTAAATTTTTAGTTGCCCAATTAGATGGAAAATTAGTAGTGTCTTTTCGAAAGTATTAAATCATATACACTGTCTATGGTCAAAATTATCTCTCTATTGAACCCTCAATTTAGTGTCCACACCAAGTACACTTGCGTAAATGACTGGTAAATTTGGACAAAATTATCACTGAAAATGATATATGCTAATTTATGAAAGGTTAAAGATTAAGAAATCGACGATTAGAAATTAGAGGTTACAATTTAAAGAAAATAAAAATTGAGGACGACAGCTGCAATTTTATCTCTTCCCGTTACCTCAAGTTTTCCACGTAGCTGCTGTGAAGCAAGAATAGAGAGACAGTCTATATTAATCTCAAGGTCATTTTTCCACGCGGAGTTGCAGAGATCATTTAATTTGAGAAATTTAAGGAGTTGCAGAGATCATTTAATTTGAGAAATTTAACCTCTCTCTCTCTCTCTCTCTCTCTCTCTCTCTCTCTCATTCTTGTGAATTTTCATCCATGGAAAGGAAAAACCCACCTGAAACTCAATTGTTTCATCAAATTTGCAGCTGAATTGTGTTCAATTTCCTATCATTTTTCCCTTGATTTGTCTCATATTTCTTATCTTACATCTACAAATCGAGTTTTATCTTCGATTTTGAATCTCGAAATTACACCTCAGACCCAGAGCCCCCAGTCACTCCATAATCAGATTACTTAAAATGCAAGACCCATCTATGTATACATATATAAACGCACGGCCACAACAACAGCAACAGCAACAGCCACAGCCACAATTCCCAGACCAAGAACAATTAAAGTGTCCAAGGTGCGATTCTACAAACACCAAATTCTGCTATTACAATAACTACAACCTCTCTCAGCCGCGCCACTTCTGCAAGGGCTGTAGAAGGTACTGGACTAAAGGAGGTGTTCTTAGAAACATCCCTGTCGGCGGCGGCTCCCGGAAGAACACCAAGCGGAGCTCCTCCTCCGCTGCCTCCTCTTCTCCCACTGCCCACCACTCCAAACGCCCCGCCGCCACCTCCGCATCATCTGTCTCACCACCACGACCACCACCACCGGTTAGTGTTAGTGGAACAAATACTGAAACATTTCCTCTGAAGACAGATAATTACCAGGGGCAATTTGGGAATATCAGCTCATTTTTGGGATCTAGTAGTGGACGATTTGGTAATTTTCTTGATGGGCTCCACTCAAATGAAACAAATTTGCAGATGGATATGTCGGGTTGTGAACCGGGTACCGGTACAGGTCAGGATCCGGTCCAAAATGTGGAGCCCCAGTTGAGGTTGGACTTGGACGGTGGAAGTAACAATATTGCAGATGAATTCTTGGACGTGCAGGTTGGTGATGATGAAACTACCTGTTGGAATGGTAGCAATGGCTGGGCAGATCTTGCTATGTACACTCCAGGCTCTACTTTTCGGTAATTAATCTACTAAATACGGAAAAAAAAAAAGGAATAGAAAATGAGATAAAATATTAATGCGATGGAGCAGTATAATGAATATGATTTTAGCTTCGTTTTTCGATCTTAATAGTCTAGTGTGGTACACTGTACTGAGCCAAACAAGCAAGCAATAAATATATATTGTTGACTCAGCTATACTGGCTTTGTAGTTGACATGTTTGATCGAGTTTGGTTGCGTCAAGAATTAAAGTTGTATTAACGTTTAAGATTCGTGTTCACGAGTTTTCACAATGGAATTGATATATACGTATTTATGCAATTTTTTCCCCACTTTTCTTAGGAATTGATAGTCATTTTTCAATTTTATTTGAATAGCTTCTTGGATATTCTAATAGGAATGTTTTTTCGTATAGTATAGTCCCTGTTTGAACCCCATTACGTGAAAAAATTAATGGGGGGATAGTATTTTTTTGAAAAGTGAGTGGTTGAAAAAGAATGAAAAGTTTTCAATTTACGTGTAATATTATTTTATGGAAGATTATGTGATTGAAAATAGGAAAGAGAAAAATGAAATGTAATAGAATTTAATGTAATGGAACTCAAAAACGGCATAATATGATGTTAATTGATGCAAATAGTTCCTATCATATATTTGAAAGTCCACTAGGCAGACTTTTGGTCTTATTTAAAAAATTATTTTATATCAGCTTTCTCCAAAAGTTATTTAAATCAGATAAAATATGACCTTGTTTGAGCCCCATTTTTCAAACAAAATATATTCTTAAACAGTAATTTGACATCATTTCAATCACATATTCTTTAATAAAATAATATTATACGCAAATCAAAAACTTTTTCTTATTTTTTAACCACACATTTTTATTAATACACTATTCAAAAATTCATTTTCTTCACAAAAATGAGGCTCAAACAAGGGCTATATTTATTTTTATTTTTTATTTTTTTTTCACAATATATTGTCCGAGAAATTTTGTAAATGCGATGGGAATTGGGATCACTCTTGGAAGGTGTCTCTCTATAGTGGACCAATAAGGCCCACAGCCCATGATGGGCATTTGAGTGGACCACTACACTACCATTTATGTCTCAACATTCAACCAGCAACATGGGTGGGCCTCCAAGTCACTTTAGCTCAATATGGATATTTCATCCCCCCACCCTTTGGCATTGGTAGATAAGAGTTTAAATGCTAAATTGGCTGTGGTGGGTATGTATACATCTAGTAGATATAGGTGAGGTAAAAAAATTTTTACATGGTATTCTATATATAAAATGAAAATTGAAATAGATTAGTCAATAGGGATTGAGTTTTTCTTCTGCGTGTAACTCGGCATTAGTCGAGACCACTTGACTAGGATCATGATAAGTCTCAATTTGCCAATTAGTGATTGATTATCTAATAACAAATTTATGTTTTTCTTTAACTAGAAACGAATGTTGATTTAGCAGTTCTAAGTTATTGAAATTCGTAGATATATTGATTTTTTATTTTTGTCAGATAGAATTTTGGGAATTTTGAATGGAATTTCATAAAAAGTCAAATTATCTCTTATAGTTCAAGATGTTACAAGTGTTTCTAGTTTTGGCTTAATGAATTGCATTAACATTTTTGTTTAGCTATATATTATAGAGCAATGTTATTCATAGTGAGAATTACTATTAGTCGTCTTACGTGGCATATATGTAATAATTTGTTATTTGATATATCACGTAGTATGAATATTGATAGTCATCACTATAAATAGCATTATGCTGTACTACGTTATAAACCCCCAATACTTTTAACATTTGGGGTCCACTATGATACATAATTTACGTGATTTTGAGAAAAATTAGGAAAAAAAAAAGGAAGTGGCCAAATTTCGTTTTCTTAGCGTGTGTGCTACTCTTAAAAACTTGAAAGCTACAAATGCACAAATTTGGATGAATTTTTGGAATGAATTACCAAATTCTTTCTATCTGTAGCTTTGACCATCCAATTGCACATTTCTGACATTTTTGCATTTGATACCAATCAATGTGGCATGGGTTGGGGATTCCTTACAAAATCAGCTGGCTATTAGTGTTGACTTTTGTCTTTTTTGTTGAATTGATCACAAAAAAATAAGATTATATCAGTAATGATCTCCTAAGTATCGATACTTAGCTTATGTTAAGCACCAGTGACATGATACATGAAATTTAATAATTCATCAATTAAATGGTGTGTTATGTCACTGGTACTTAACACCAATGTTTAGGAGATAATTACCGTATATATATATATATATAGGAGATCATTTTTTATGTTTAAAAATAGAAAAATAAGATTATATCAGTAATGATCTCCTAAGTATCGATACTTAGCTTATGTTAAGCACCAGTGACATGATACATGAAATTTAATAATTCATCAATTAAATGGTGTGTTATGTCACTGGTACTTAACACCAATGTTTATATATATATATATATATATATATATATATATATATAGGAGATCATTTTTTATGTTTAAAAATAGGTTTGAGAATTGACTAAGAAAATCGAGTTTTCAAAATTCAAAAATTTAATGAAAAAAATCTGAATTTTAATATGAACAGGTAAAATTGGCAAGTTCAGTCTATTTTTCTTGTAAATTCGTGAGTTCACACACTTTTTTAGGTTTAATCTATTATATTTTTATGTAATGAAATAAATTTAAAATTTTCAATGACATATCAAATTATCTTTTTAGCAAAAGGATGTGAAATCTTTGTCATATCACATGATTCCGATTTTTATTTCAATCAAATCCTTATAGGATGTAGTTTCAATCTAAATGATGAAAATGGGGCTACCAAGAGGAATTCATAAGCATTATGTGCCTCAGGCGTGAACTTGCCTTAATTTTCATGTTTGCTTTCTTGTTATCAAAGATTCTTGGATTGTCTAAATTGCTCAATTGATGCTAAATTGGGTTTCTTATTATTTTTATTTTATTTGAGGCACTAATAAACGGTTGACTCCTAGACTTGTTATACTCAAAACAAGGCTTTTGATAAAAGGATTTTTGGTGGAATTGACATTTTACCTTGCACTTCATGGAGTTTGAAATTTCTGTCCAATTTGATCCATCTCAGATTTGACTTCGTCTCCTATCATAAAACCAAACACCTTAGGTAAGACGGAATGATTTAATTTTAGAATGGTAATTTTTTCGATATAATTTATGCGAATTACTTTATTTTTGGATTCAAAAAACTTTATTGTAAATTTGAATTATTTGATAATTTCTTTAATAAGGAAACTAAAAGCTGGCCCACAATCACAATGGGAGAGTATGGCCCAAGCATTAATGTGTTGGGTCATGGCTTTGGACATAATAATCGGAGTAATGATCCTCGTACATTTATTACCGAAGGACGCGGTCAAGAGGGTAGCAAAATCATAGCCGCTTTCATCGGATTAGTTGTCTCACCTACCGGGTTAAAATCCATTTATTATTTGTTATCTCATTTTGAACTTCATCTATTTTTTCCGTAGTTTTAAATAACAGCAGCATCACTTACAATAAGTCCATAAGAATGGACATATTGCATAAGGACTCTTCGATGTAAGACCTAAATAAATAATAATTGGGTGAATTTTTGAGAGCTTGATACTAGTGATACAAGGTTTGATTATGTGTATCGTATTACTTCCATTGGACATGGAGTTGGTTAAGAGATTGACGGTTCTCCCGATCTGACTGTTGGTTAAGAGATTGACGGTTCTCCCGATCTGACTTTCCTGAGTCACTTTAGTTTTCAAAGATGAAAGAAGTCACTTTTCTGTGATCAAGCTATACAAATTTTGTCATTCTTTACTCTTAAGAGCTTTTTTAGAATATGGTTAAGAGGAAATTGCGCTAGGGTCTCTTACTTTTGATCCCCGTGATAATGATATCCAGAATTTTTTTGTTCTAGCACCTGAAATTTCAAGCCTGCATCTGAGGTCCATTTGTTATGAAAATTGTCATTTTGACCATTAAATGTTAAATGTGGAATAAAATGAAGAAAGAGTCAAACCACTAAAATAAATAATTTTAAAAAATCCAGTTTACGAAATAAAATTTCAAGTTGAAAAATGTTTGTTCATTGATTTAATGAATGCCATCTTTTTCTATCTTGATTAAGTCAATGTATATGATTAATGCTTTGAAACAGATAGATTAACGCTTGATAAGCCTTGATTTAATGGTCAAGTGGAAAAAACTCGCTTCAAAATAAAAAAGTAAATAGAATCGGAAGGAATGCTTTTGGGACAAGCGAACAATAGAACACTATAATAGAAGATATAATTGGACAAGGAGTAAGGTCACAAATAGACGAGGTAACCTCTATTGATCATATTGTGACTCGGAGTTGACTAGTCACATCAACCCCTTCTTGGGTTATTAGGGAACTTTAAAATATCAACTCTACTAGTACAAATTCAAATCAACGAACACGTATTCAACTATCAAAAAACTTGTGCTTGTTAACCTATACAAGTAGAATAATTCTTAAAATATCCTAGGCCGCTTACAACCCCGTATTCGTTTCCTGACAATTTTATACTTAAGACAAATCACTATATAAATTCATTCTATATTATTTAGATTAGACAAAGTGGAAATTACATAATATTAGGGTTTTAAAGACCACAATTCAAAAATCAGGGCTGAGGTTTCAACATTCAAAAATCAGGTATCAATATAATAAATCTCCAACCGATTAAATCAGGGCCAGAGTTTTTCTCTCTACAATCTACCTTTTCTCTCTCTCATCACACTCTATCTATTTTCCCTATGTCCCTCATTTAACCATCCCACCGGGAGATGACCCAGACGAGGCGCCGCCACCAGAAGAAGTAACACAACATTGCCATCTATCCTTGCCCGACATTGCACCTGTCGTCGCGGAGAAAAATTTGGGGACTAGTTTGGGATTTTTTGGTCGACGGAAGAAGAGAAAATTTTTGGAGGGAGTTTGGTTTTTTTGGCTAATTTCATTCTCCTCGATTTGATCTACGTAGTCGGAGCTGCTGCGTAGCGCCCTATTTTCCTCTATAGTGGGAAAATCTGGTGGGGGTTTTGGTACGGTGGAGGTGGATGTGGATGCGTGCGACCAATTTAATTGTGTGCGATAGATGTGTTGGGTAGCAGAGACACTGGTTGGAGGCTGTGCTGTTCGACGATGCTAGTTGGCGATAAGTGTAAAGTATCGCCACACGCAGAAGATGTGTGCTGATTTGTGTGTGGAAGTGTATTTGTACGGTGTTGAGGTATTTTTGTTGGGTTTGTTGGTTTTTGGATTG